CCTCAGAGACCCTAATGGCACACCCAAGCACGAAACCAATTTCTCTGAAAGAGGCCTTTCCCTTTGAACAGGGCAGGGTTTGGACTTCTCAGCTCAGCCCTCAGCATTGCTGCCCAGGAGGAAGCGGTGACTCTACCGGCCAGTGCCTCTGCAGGCAGGGGAAAGCGGCTCATCAGGGATGGAAGTGTTCGGCCCAGAGCAGAGGTAGAGCTGGAGAAGCAGAACTTGCTGCCCTGCTCCTGATTAAGCACTGCACAGGTGCCTGCAGCTAGACAAGCTACAAATACGCTTGCATGAAACCTCCCACAAGAAGCTTCCAGTCTCCACAATGTCACAGCAAAGCCACCCTTCCCTTGCTCCCCAATGCTTAATTTATTTTGTAGTCAGACACTAAATGGCTCACTGTCTGCTTCCAAGCCTTCTTGCCCACAGCAGAGCCAAAGGACACACCGACAGGGGCAGACAACGCACAGTGCAACTCCAGAGTCCCTTCAGCCCCAACGACCCACTTGAACACTCAGTGAAGGCGAATTCCATTTTGTTTTTCATGCAGCAGCAGGAACCTCTCTTCTCCCCAAACATCCCCAGGCCTCAGAGCCACCTGCTTACCAAAGGTGATGTAGCCAATATTGTCGCCAACGGCTGCATCTGTGTCTTTCAGCTCCAAGGGTGGTTCCCTGTGGCTAAAGAGCACCTGTGGGGCTGTGTGACTGGCCCGGCGACCCTCCTTGAACTCCTGAACAAGACAAAGCAAAGATGAGTCCCACTGTGGTACTCCAACAACACGATGGGAAAGCAAATGTGGTTTCCCCACTCCCAAAGGACAACTGAGCAGGAGGTTTCCCAGCTTTCCCTGAACGCGCTGAGTCCATCAGGCCAAACCTCTGGAAAACAATCCTTTTTCCCAGCAAAACCAGACCAAAACGCACAGCTGTCCCAGGTTTACACATGGCCCTAGCACAGCCCCTCAGCTGGGGTGGCTTTCAGTGTAACAGTTCCTGCCGTGGGTGTTTTGTGGAAGAGACACCTCAGTGTGGGTCAGGAGCAAGCACATGAGACAGCACAGCTCCTGCCGGAAAGGCAACACCATCAGTGCTTCCAGCAAAAGTGGACAGCGCCCATCACTCCAGAGGAAAGGAAATCCTCAGAAACGGCTGCGAGGTCTCCATTGCATCTAGTGTAAAGGGTCTGCTGTTTGAGAAAGCACCTCCCACAAGGAGTCTTTGCCCAGGCGTTAAGAGGCATCTATGGGGTTTGAAGCTTGTGTGCGAAGCCTCCTCCTAACGCTTCTCTACACCTTGAAACAATACCTCCAGGCAGGGAGATCCCTTCTGCCAGGGAAACTCTCTGACAGCAGCACAACCCCCACCTCACATGAAATAAACTGGCTCCGCATTTCAGGCATTACAGGACTGCCCCTGCACTGGGCTAGGAAAGTCATGACACCATTCCCCTGCCCCAAGGCACAGCGGCCTCCCTTCTGCCTCACTGACCCCCAGCCCAAGCTACATATCATCAGCCACCCTCGGCCCCTCCTTCCTTCTGAGCACAGCTCACCTGGGAAGGGCAGGAGCATCTCTGTCCCTTTCAGAGAACTGAGTAGTTCACTGGGGTTTCCTTAATGAAATGCTTAGCTTGCGCTTCTGCCTGTTTATGCCAGAGGGTGAAATGGCTCAAATGGCTTCACTGGTTAGTTAATGGTCAGATTTTCTCTGTGAGAGCCCAGATGAGCAGCCACCATGCCTGACTGGGCTGCCTTACGCAAGAGCAATAGCTGGAGGGAAGAAGCCAGCATGACTCAGAGTGGAAATTCTTGTGGCTGGGCAGGAGCAGGGTTTGCCGTTGTAAAAACCAAGAACCTGGGACATGGAGACTCTGGGACAGCCGCTGCCTTGAAGCCTTACCACCTCCCTGGGAGCCTCACAAACCCTGTT